GGTAACATATTTCAAGGTCGTCAAAATAATTTTTTTTCTGATTATGTACAATTTAAAATATTTTCTAATATAAGCGCAAAGAAAGTGCAGAAGAATGGCCTTGAAGATAAAGTAAAGTGGTCATGATTCCAACTAATTGCCGAACGTATTTTTCAATAGAATATTGAAGTACGAGTTCATAAATAACGTTGGATTTCGTGTCTGAAGTTTAAGATGCGCAGTTGATTATAACATCGCTTTACCGAGACAGCACGATGCGATGCGAGATAAGCGATTTCATTAAAAGTATATACGGGCATCGATTTATCTGCGGCGTGCCGGTAATAGCTTTAATGTAAACGTGCTAGTTTGTAGGCCTCTTCGGGAACTGACGTCGTAGATCGTAAATCGTTCGGTTCTCCACCTAATAATTGAAATATTCCATTGTTACGGTTGTAGCTACGTTATTGAGATAACGAATTTTACTTTAACTACCGTTTACAATTTAACAGCCTGTAATTTATTTTTTATTAAAAAATACATATACTTCTGCAGAACTTCTATATATAGCTTGTAAAAAATAATGATGTAAAGTAAAATTAGCAAATAGTTACCTCGTGTTATAAATTAACAATTAATTTCCGATGTTTATATATTTTGTTATAAGGAAAACGAATTGTAATTTTTGAGGTAAAATAATATTGGACGTACATGCGAAACACCTTAAACATGGAAATTTCTAAGAGAACTTGTAATAATTGTTTGTCAAGCTGACGACCTTACCGATTTCAGTAACCTTGAGCAATGTCTCTGTATGGTTGTAAACTTATTTCACTTACATTAACTTTCTACTTTTTACTATCAGTTTTCAGTTACGAAAATGAGTTAGATTTGAAACCTAACCCAGGCTGAAGTTTGGCAAAATTTGACTTGGATGACGGATAAGAAATAAGAAGATGTTGAATAAATATCGAATCGAATAAAAATGTATCTAGAGAACAATTTATCAGAATAAAAGATTTTATTGGAATAAAAATTCATCCGAATAAGAAGTTACTTGCTATTCGAATAAGAATTTATTTGTACAGGTATTAATTTGGATAATTATCGATATGAATAAAAATTATAAATGTAGTGTTTTTCCATAGTTTATTGATCAATTTCTTCCATGTTAATTTTTACAATTAACTGTTTTTGTCGGCTGCTGTACTGGAAA